ACCTGTGGCCGAACGCGAGGTCCAGATTCGTTACCACCTGAGAATTCGGCTAGTCCATCCGTGTAACGAACATGTCAGCCCATCTGGTCGTTGGCTTCCTCGAGGACGCTTTGCTTCGCGAGGAATCCCATTTAGAGTTCTTAATGTCCATCTGTTGTCTGTTCTTCTCATTCTATAACCAGCCCATCGATGCTTTGCCTTAGAGATGTATTCCGCTGCATCGCAAAGACGAGATATTGATCTTATATTTGAACTGCGAAGTCCGACGAGATATTGAGTGCGTCGCGTACTTCAGAAGACGTCGTTCCAGCGCTGTGTGGGTTGTTCGGAGAGCCCTTGACGTAGCCACAGTGTCAGGCCACGCCTTTGCTGCGTAGCAGAGCGCAGGGAGAATAGTTGAATCGAAAAGGTGGGCTCGGAGCTCTGTTTCCACCGGTTTGTGGCTTCCCCTAGGGGCCCGAAGGCGGCCCAAGCTGCTCTTTGCCTCCTGTTTAGTTCTTCTTTCAGATCGTTTCCATGTTCATCGAACCCGAGAGCGATTGGAAAGTCTTCTAATTCCATTTCATGATCTGAGTCCTCTAATGGTATTCGCAGTCTTATCGCTTTTCTAATTTGTTTTGTTCTTTCAAAACCTCTCCGCTTCAGTGACATTCCTCGAGAAGAAAACTATGTCGTCCGCGAAACGAAGGAATCTTTTATCAACTCGCCCTCTATCGTTCCAATCTAATGATTTCATTGCCCACTGCAAGGCGGCAGCGAACAGCTTTGGAGAAACGGTATCACATTTTCGCACCCCTCTTTGAAGTTGGTAATTTAAGAGGGCGATGGAAAAGCTGTACTGTGGTAGAGCAATTCTTGTAGCAGTTGGCCAATGTCCTCACGTATAGGCCCACCTCTTGGTCGACGAGCGCTGACAGTATGGCATTAGTCTCAACGCTGTCACGCTTTTTTCATAGTCGACGAAGGTTACGAGGAGAGTTAGGGGTACTCTCGCCAAACCTCGATAGTCTTTCTGTGTGGAAATGATCCACTCAGCTGCATTCCTGT